TCTGAATTTGCATTTATTGTTATGGTGATGCCAAAATAAAATTGTGTTGTTAAGTATCCCTCTCTTTCTAGCGCAATCAAAACTTGCAGAAACAAAAGGGACTGAACAAAACGTATTTATTCAAACTAAATAATATCAGTACATCTGCTTTAAGCATTTAACAATGCAACTGTGAATATCATGGTCAGTGGAGCCAATTTAACTTTATTACTCTGCAACAGTGCACTATACTATCAGTCCAGCTGCCTTAAGCAGATGTGATGTGCACAAGGCGTACAGTGCCATGTCATAGGTACAGGAAGTGCACATAGTCAGGGTACCTGTCATCACCCTGCCATCTCTGCACAGAAGTAGAGTGAAGAGGTTAAACTTACCATGAGCACTTACTTCCATGGACTGAGTAACCCCTCCCACGCAGAGGTCACTAGGTGCAGCTCATGGTATTACGGTTAAGGCTGCGATTTAGTCATGGAAGTCACGGATTCTGAGACTTACAAAGACCTCTGTGACTTCAGCCAGCCCCGGCTGGGAGCTGCAGGGTCAGTCCCCTGCTGCCACCAATAGGCGGACCTCCTGCAGGTCCCGGCCGTCGCAGGTGGCACCCCCGCAGCTCATGGGCGGAACCTCCGGAGTTCGGAGCTGCCAGCAGAGGGGGACATTGGAGCTCCCAGCCCACCCACAGCTTCCCAGACTCCTCATTTTATCATGGATATTTTTAGTAAAAGTCAAGGACAGGTCACAGTCTTCCATTAATTTTTCATTATTGCCCATGTCCCGCCAATGACTTTTACTAAAAATATCTGTGACAGAATCTTATCCTTAATTATGGTTCATGGCTGCAAATTTAGGCTGGAGATGAATCTCGGCAAATGCAATGGCCAGGCTGTTCTGGCACTTGCTGACCATAATGCCCAGAAGGTGTGCAACCATTGTGTGTGGGTTCTCCTTGTGCTGCTGCTAGCAGTCTTGCTCGCACATAGCACATTATGAGCAACTTACTCTGCCACCATGCATTCCTCCCTCTCCAGCATCATCTTAGCTGCAGTCTGGAATTGCTGTTCCTGTTCCAGCATCTCCCTTTGAAGCTCAAAGAGCAGGTCAGACTTTCTGCCGAAGTCCCTATGCATCTCCATCAAGAGGTCCCCCTGTGTCCTCTACCTTCTGCTTCTCTGGTTCTAGTCTCTGGTGCTGATAGTCAGTGGCCTTTTGGGTGGGTGGCTGGACTGCACCTATGCAGATGGGCTTTAAAGCGAAGAAACAGTACATAGCTTTACTGTGTAGGGCAGGGGTCGGAAACCTATGGCACACATGCCAAACACAGCACACAAGCCAATTTTGAGCGGCATGCTGCTGCCTGCCCGGTGAGAGGAGGAAGAGGGGAGGAGGGTCAGGAAAGCACCATGCTGGGGGAAGAAGCGGGGGAGGCGGGAAGCTTGGTTGCCGCAGGACCCAGCTTCGGCCTCCTGCCCCCACAGGGGAGAGCGGGGGGAGGGGAGGGGGG